AAAAAATGTTTTTAATGCATCCAGCTGTGTTGCACGAATCTGTCTGCTCATACATGTGATTAGTTAAAAACAAAAACAGACCCTGATGCATGGTGTCGCGTGCGTGTCTCTCAACAGGAACGGCTCGGTGGCGCATTCCGACTGCGCCCTGTACGAAGTGGGCGGGAATATCGGTGAGTGAAAGTGTTCTCCAACCGGTGCGGCGCTGACATTTGCGTGTCTTTCTGCTCACTGAGCCCACAAGTGTAGCAAGGTCTTACGTAATGAAGTGTACAAGCACCAAAGAGACACGAGCAGTGCATCTGCAGTTATCAGAGCAGACAAATGCTTATTACACACATGTCTGCGCGCTCACATGAGAGCTGACACAGTACAAGCGAAACTTTTTGTAATCTGCACTACTTTTGTGGTCGAAAAACTCTAATCTTTATGCTTTAATACAAGTACAAGGATTCGAATTGATTAAGAGTCAGCACATTCATAATCAGCTGACAGAAAAATGGGTAGAAACCATAGAGATGATATAAACAAGTTCATATTCTTTTATTGTTAAAGGAAAAACAAAATCATTATGAACATTTTTGTAATGATCCATGCCATAATTGTTTGATCCATAAATTAATTAATTGATATGTCTTGAAGTTCACTTTCTCTGTGTTATTTCTGCAGGTGAGCACTGCCTAGATCCAGACACACACCTTCTAGATTTGTACAACAGCAATCCTGGAGGAGAGTGGATCATCAAAAGGAGACCCAGCGGCAGCAGGGGGCTGTGATGGATGGACTGAACGAAAACTCAGTTTCAGACTAAACATAAAGGCATCAAGGTCTACGGAAAAATCAAATCCACACAGCCATCACTTCTTCATGTCCTGTTCATCCCGTGAGCAACAAGCGAGAGGGAGACAGATGGAGGAAGCGGGAACGGATAGATGGAGAATCTGCCTGGAGCAGAGCCTAAAAACTGTCTGCGATCACATGAACACACACTACACTCTGTCTTTCTCTTCCTGCCTCTCTCCATCTTCTTCTTTTCCCTTCGCTACATCATTTCTCTCCTGCGTTGCAACGCTGAGAGCCTAAAGCTGCCGACGCGACTCATTACTTCCAACAGAGAACCTGCTGCACAGAAAAGAGGAGAGCGACCGGCTGGACAGTTTGCTTCGCCATCTTTTCTCTCAAGCAATCGTATCCAACCATGAGCGAGCAGATGGGGATGCAGAGCACCTCTGGCTATAGAGAGCTCACCCCCTCTGTCAGGCCAGCATCTGCTCCACAAAAGTGTTTTTCTATCATGACTTATCAGGGCTTTGTAAAAAGATCAAACATGATACAAGAGTTTTATGTGCATGTTTGAAGAAAATGTATTGTCTAATGCTAAAAGTCAGCGTAAATATTTGCCCGCCTGCATCTCCAGTGATTAAGCTATTATTACATCATCATCTCCAGTGTTACCACTGCTCAGTCACTTGGATACCCTGGATATTCAAGTATTCAGTGAACAAGGACACATGTAGCAGGTCAACTTTCAGTCTTATTATGAAATTCTGGATTTCTCAACTTTTATCCTAAAAAAATAGTTGACCATGAAGTAATACATGAGGTGCTCCATACCTTGATTTCTTTGTTCACCCACCAGTGTTACTTTACCATAAATCAGGAGAAACACAGCTTTTAAAAGCTGATTTCTTTATTCTTCTATCCTGACTTAAGCAGCAAGTTTTCCTATTTACACATTTTCTTTACATCTAGAGCTACTCGTAACCTTGTGTAAACAAATTTGAACATAAAACCCTTGGATCATTTTTTTTGAAACAAAAATAATGAGAAAACAGCAGCATGAAAGAAGACACTGGGCACTTAAGCTGCTGGAGCAGAAGCTAACCTGGAAACAGACAGTTGATCCAGATCGATCCAGATCGATTCTGCAGCTTTGATGACTTAAGTAAACAAAGACGGAGGTTTGTCGGTGTCAACTCCCTTCTTCACCTGTGCCATTCAATGAGGGAAAGAGACCCTGATGAACTGATATCCCTTTATCTGTGAAACCCTGCGATCTCCTGGGCATTAAAATTAAAGAAAAATCCTCAGACTTCCTGAGCTGCACAGAGCAGCGCTCAAAGAGACTCTCTTGGACACCACGAGATTTGGTGTTGCGACCTCAAGGACAGTGACTGTACCGCTAAAGGGAGTTGTAAAGGACACACAGTGAAGCTGGTCTTCTCGTCTTTTTTTAAAAAAAACACACGAATGAAGGCGAAAATGAGCAAAGTGACTCAAGGGGTGTACCGGGATTATTATTATTATTATTATTATTATTATTATTATTATTGTTATTATTTATATGAATGTAATACCGTTGTTGCTTCTTATTCAGTGAGTATTGTGTAGGATAGCGAGACTCAGTGTAACAGTATGATGTGTTAAGCTGCCCATACTCGGTGTGGGAGTTTGCAGTGTTTGTGCTCATAATTGTTCGTATGCTGGCATTTTTTTAATGGATCTCTTTACATCTGTTAGTAGGAGAAGTTGTATAAATATGGCTCGTTCATACACACTTTAAGGATAACTCTCTGCAGTAGGACTGTTTGTTGTGAGGCTACTCGAAGCTTTTTCCCAACGCAGTCGAGCAGCAGATGAATGTATTTAATATTTTGTACCGATCGCCAGATGCGAATCGTTTGCTCCTCGCAGACGGAGCCATGTTGGTGCGCCGCGGCCATTTTGTGGGAAGCGTTTCACAC